GCCTTCTGCTTTTTGTTATTTTGGGATTAATCTCATTAATCTGTTCTCTCTAGAAAATAATAATTATTAATTAAATGTATTTTTTGGTGTGATTGTTGCAGGTTGATTTGGAAAGAATTTCCAAGGATACACACGGGTACGTGGGTGCTGACCTAGCTGCTTTGTGCACTGAGGCTGCCCTTCAATGCATAAGGGAGAAGATGGATGTGATTGATTTGGAAGATGAGACTATTGATGCTGAGGTACTGAATTCCATGGCTGTCACGAATGAACACTTGCATACTGCTCTTGGGACCAGCAATCCCTCTGCCCTGCGTGAAACTGTAAGTGTGCATTGTTTTCTCTCTATCTCTTCCTTTCTCTGGTTTTTTATCAATCCTGACTGAAATTCATGCATTGTCCACAGGTTGTTGAAGTCCCCAATGTTAGCTGGGAAGATATTGGAGGCCTTGAGAATGTCAAGCGAGAACTCCAAGAGGTACCTTATTATTCTTGTGTGTATTTTCAAGGTATGAGTTTTCACTTGAACTGAATATGTATGTTTTACTTATTTTCTTTCCGATACAGACTGTTCAATACCCAGTGGAGCATCCCGAGAAATTCGAAAAATTTGGCATGTCCCCTTCTAAAGGAGTTCTTTTCTACGGCCCTCCTGGCTGTGGAAAGACCTTGCTCGCAAAAGCTATTGCCAACGAGTGTCAGGCAAACTTTATAAGCGTAAAGGGGCCCGAATTACTAACCATGTGGTTCGGTGAGAGTGAGGCCAATGTTCGTGAAATTTTCGACAAGGCCCGTCAATCCGCACCCTGCGTCCTGTTTTTCGACGAGCTGGACTCCATCGCAACTCAGGTTCGACTTACAACAAACACATATTTTTACAATTTTTCGTTCTCTTACCCAAAAAAAAAAATAAATCCTTTAATTTGTTTATCGAACATTTTCTTTCTTGCAGAGGGGAAGTAGTTCAGGAGATGCAGGCGGAGCTGCTGACCGTGTGCTGAACCAACTTTTAACCGAGATGGACGGCATGAATGCTAAGAAGACTGTCTTCATTATTGGGGCCACAAACAGGCCCGATATTATCGATCCAGCTCTCTTACGGCCCGGAAGGCTCGACCAGCTGATTTACATTCCTCTCCCGGATGAGGACTCGCGCCATCAGATCTTCAAGGCCTGCCTGAGAAAATCGCCTCTCGCCAAAGAGGTTGACCTTAGAACCCTTGCTAAGTACACCCAGGGTTTTAGCGGTGCTGATATTACAGAAATTTGCCAGCGGGCATGCAAGTACGCCATCAGAGAGAATATCGAGAAAGTACGTTTTTTTTCATAGTTTGACCTAAATTACAGCATCAATGAAGTTCAAAACATTGAATCTTTTTCCTTTTTCTTTTTTTTTTGCCAGGATATTGAGAGAGAAAAGAAAAGGAGTGAGAACCCCGAGGCCATGGAGGAGGACCTTGAGGATGAGGTGGCAGAGATTACGGCTTCTCACTTTGAGGAGTCGATGAAGTATGCTAGGAGGAGTGTAAGTGATGCTGATATTCGCAAGTACCAGGCTTTTGCTCAGACTTTGCAGCAGTCGAGAGGTTTCGGTTCTGACTTTAGGTTTGCCGACACGAGCAGTGGTGGTGGTGCTGCTGCCACTGGGACTGCAGCCGATCCTTTTGCTGCCACCGGTGGCACGGCTGACGATGATGACCTCTATAATTAGGTCTCAAGTAATGGTTATGGAAAGTAAGACGGGATTTAAATTTAGTTTTCCAGAATGGATGATGTTGAATTATAATACTCTCCATCTTTTAGTCTATTGTCTGTGTTTGTTATTATTTTGGGAGAGAAGATGCATCTTTTTAGAGTACTTGAACTGGGATTTAGTGTTATAAATTGCTGTTTTGAGTTTTTACAAGGTTTTATGTATTGACTGCTCGATGTTTTATCTGATGATATCTTTAAGGACTTGTGAAATGTTAGCATGGCTGATACATTAAAAATCTGAAGTTAGAATCGCAAGTTTTTGTGGACAAACTTAGCTGTAAAAGCTTCTACATTCGTTTGAAGTTGTCTTTTTGGACACTTTTAATTTTTCTTTGATAAATTAAACATCGTTTTGGAATATTTTCAATTTTATTAATATTTCTAGTGAGTTATGGATATTATATAACATTAATGATACATTAATGATTAATGATTACAAATTGTATCCATATTGAAAGGAAGCGAGTATCACAACCTTGGTTATCTTCTTTGTATTATACGAAACTTTTCGGGCCTTTACTTAAAAATTATAGTCTGTTTATCCCAAGCGCAAGCCCAAGTCCACATTAGATTTGGGTCCACTGAAGATGTAAAGTAGTTTACTGACCATTAGTGCGTCGCCCACTAGCCAGGCAACATGCCGTAATAATAGGCCTTACAATCCACATAACATATAATTT